TGCTGAGTTATAAAAACTAATTTATTAAATTTATATAGCTTTAAATTTAAAAATAAATAATTTACCAGTATATTCAGATCCAGAACTGTTAAATTTGTAATAGATTTCAGCTTTGAGACCCCAAGTGCTATATTGAACTGGTCGAATTGATGTATAAATTCTGATCCAAACAAGAATGCCTTATTATATAATATATTTTTTTTCGAATAATCAAATTTATGATGTATACATACTGTAAATAGTTCTGTTATCAAAGAGAAAATCTATATCAATATGGCTTTTACATATATATAATGCCTTATTATCACTATATTAAGAAATCAGTTGTGAGCTAATGCTAATTAAATCATGTATTATGTATAATAGCTAGTAAAATAGCTATTTGCATATATATGATATCATTATTATCATTTATTTTAAAAGGAATGCATCATAAACTAATACTAATTCAAATTTTAGTTTAGTTTAATCGTATTAGCAAAATGACCAAAAATTCTGATAATGAAATAGTTCTTCCTATTGTTTCATCTAATACTCCTATATCAAAAATAAGTGGAAAACCAAAATCTATCATATGAGGAGATCATATTAAGCAAGGAAAGCAAATTTCCAAGGGACATTGGAGTGCAATATGCAATTATTGTAAACAATTTTGGTACAAAGGTTCACCTGCTACTCTCGAAGACTACTTAGATAATTTATGTAATAATGTGCCACCAGGTGTTCGTGAACTATTTTTAAACTAGTTAGTAGCAAAGACACTTGATGTTAATATATCAAAATTAAAGAAACGAAAACTTGGCAATCAGTTAAATCAAGCACAACTTTCAGATTTTATTAAAAGCACAAAATTGACACTAGAACATATTAAGAATATAAACAGAGCATTGGTAAAAGTTTTTATTGTTAGTAGAATCCTATTTTACATTATTGAGAACCCATTTTTTATTGAATTATTAAAAACATTATGTCCGGCATATGAACCTCTATCTAAAGATATCCTTTTTGATCGTTACTTGGCACAAGAAATAGCATTTGCTAATCAGGCAGTTATTAAGAAATTAAATAGTTCAAAAAATCTAACTATAGGTAATAAATATACAATTATTTACTTATAATTATTATGGCTAATACTAAAGCTTTTAACTAAAAGCTTTTTATTTATTAACATGTAATAGTTAGAGCAATCCTTCTAATGATTTTATTTGAAACTTTGTTGTATATACTCTGAATCGTTGTCAATATCTGTGATATCTTCAGAATTTGTCTAATGAAAGATATATTCAGGAACTTTTAGCAGAAGAAATCACTAATGTTTTAGAAAAAATTAGACCTAAAAAATTCTCAGCTATCGTAACAGATTTAAGTACTAATATTAAAACTACGCATCATATTATTGCAAAACAATACCCAAACATTTTGAATCTTTGATATATTTCACATACTGTTAACCTTATTTCAAAGGATATTTGTAAGACTCCATTTGCAAATCACATGCTTATATGCTATAATACTGTAGTTAGCTATTTTAAAAGAAACCATCTTGTAGGTCTGCAATTTAAAATATTTATTCTTATTAATAATATAATTAAATATATTATTAAAATAGTTTAATTATAGGAAGCACACTTAAAATTCTAGCTGAAGAAAATTTAGTTGAAGGAGAAGGACTTAAGCAGTAGGTAGATACCTATTGGCATACTATGTACGATTATGTATTTTCAATTATAAGATATAAAGTGCCTCTAGAAATAGTAAGTTCAACAATACAATAATATAATACTTTTTTTTATTAAAATTTTAATTTAATAATTTATAATTTTAGATTCGTAATAGTGATAATGTAAATATTTCAGTACAATCAATACTACATACAAGAGCATTTTTTGATGATTTAAATATATTAGCATTTGTACTTCGACCTATTAAGCTAGCTATATTAATTCTTAAATCACAAAATTGTTCACTAGCTGATTGCTTCATTGGTCTAGTTTATTTGGAAGCAGCAATTAAAAAACTTTTAAAGAATGATTATTGTAGTTTTCATCAACAAGCAATTGCAATTTTTAATAGAAGATTTGCAGAGTTTAATAATGATATATATATTTTATGCTTTTTTTTACATCCTGAATATACTGGTAAATTATTTATTTTTAAATTTAAAGCTATATAAATTTAATAAATTAGTTTTTATAACTCAGCA